CCACAAATAAGCGAGGATAATGACAAACAAGCAATGCGAACTATTCTAACATTAGCTTGTTGGGCTTGGGATGTTAAATGAAAAAGAAAATGCAGCATTTCCTTGATCATCTCGCGCTGTGTAGTTTGTTGCAGCTACAGCTTTGTTTTCGAGGCAATAGATATAAAGGAATGGCCAGTCTTTTGGGGTTAGTGTTCATCTAACATGGTCACCAGAGCACTTTTGTTTACTCCCACACTGTCTAAAAAGAACTGCCTGAAGTTTTTTTTGTATTTGTTCTTGAGAAAAGTCCTTTATGATGTGTTCTTAAACTGCATAATTGTCTGGACTGAGGTCCATTGTTCTCGCGGTTTGTATGTGAAACACACATATGAGACAAATTACTTGAGAAATTCAGCAAAGTTGACGTTGGCTTTTTGTTTGAATTTCTTGGTCCACCTTAAATGGTGCCTGTACAGATGCCGCAATCTAACTGCTTCTCCATTTAAGGTGGAACATGAAGTTCAACAAAAAGCAGCCTTAGAAATTAAGATATGACACAACATTTAGCACCGAATTTGCCGAGCCCTCAGGGTGTTAGAAAGCAATATTGACATAGGTTTATCTAGGGGTGGGCAATATAGCAATATTTTATCACTATCATGACCATTTTTATTATTGTGATACACAGTATGCATTTCCGAGCATTGATACTTCAGTACTTCAGCTTGTCAGAGCATGTTTCTTTACAAAGAGAGCATATTTACTCCTGTTTAATTGGATATAGTGCAGTACAGTATGTGAAATATTGACTTACTATCATTGCGTTCATAGTTTTTACTAGCAGCTTTTAAATGTGACGAGTGCATTGTGCGTTTGTCAAAATATTGTAATAAGTATTGCATATCATGAACATTTCTTTTAAATATTGTTATCCTGTTAATATACAGTTCTTTTCGTATCGCCCGGCCCTGAGTTTATTTTATTTATATATTCATTTATATATTGTTTAGTTTTGTTTTTACTGTTTTGCACAATAAAAATATTTCACTTTAATTTGGTTTTTAAAAATGGTTCTTGTTTAAAAGTGAAAGGACCAAAATATACCAGAACCATGAGATATTTTAATTATACTGTGATATAAATATGTTGCCTTAGCACCCACTACTATTAAGAGCCCAATTAGACCGACGCTATTCAATTCCAAAGTTACCAGACATCCTTCTTGAAAGAGAATAAGCAGCATGATATCCATAACAAAAATATGTGTGGGATTGTTTTAGAATTTATGCATTGATAGGCACGTGGCCCCCTCTGTTCTGTGGTCCACGGGATGAAGTGTGGCTCTCAGCTGCCTGTCAGATCCCAGATCCAGAGTGGGTCCCCTGCTATGAGCATCTTTCCTCTTTGATACAGAGCACTGAGTTTGATTTGGAGAGTGGGAAATGTAGTTCATGCATCTTCAGCTGGCGCATTCGAGTCACACTCCAAAAACCGAGTGGATCTTTGTGTGAGCGTTAACCATTCATAGACCGGTCAGAGAGTTAGGAGGTGGGCTCTAGCTGATTACTGGATGGTATTGTGACCTGCTCACTCGCTGAATCCCGTGCAGAAATCGAAGGCGCCTCTCTGCAGTCTGTGGGGGTGGCTGTGCAAAGTTGATGTTTAATCGATAGTGATGGATCAAAGTGGTGCACCTCTGCTAGCCTGTGGTAATAGCACGTTAGTGTTCGCAACTTCACAAACTCCTTTCATCTCAACACTCTCTCTCCTCACTCTCTCTCTCTCTCTCTCTCTCTCTCCCTCACTCACAGCTCAGTGAAGAACCCTCATGCTTTAGGTGCTTGTCTTCATTCCTCCATTCCCCACTTTGACTCGCTCTTTAATTAGGAGAGGGAACAGAGTTCAGCAATGCTTGGACTGACATCCAAAGACCATGAACCGTCTTTAGAGAGATGTAGTCATTTGCCACATTCCTATTCGGCATGAAAAAAATCACAGCTCCTATAATGAAATGGCATATTAGAATATATGTAGCTAAATGTGACATGCCTGGACAAATGTGGGTAAATTAGCATGTCGCTGGTGAAATCAGACTCTGCTGCCTCTTCAGGTTTGATCATTCTCAGAGTGAAAAAGTTAACTATTATCCTGTCAAGGAACAGCAGCAGATTGTACACCTCTCAGTCTGCCTGACACTCGGAGAGTGATAGTCATAGACTCTCCACACAGAAAAATTGAACAAATGCTGTCCTGTGAGTGAATACAAATCTTTCACACATTGCTTGGGGGGGTAAATAAATAAATAAAACCTTTCTAGAAGCGATGAATGAGATCCTGTTCATCATTTGGCAGGGTGAGGACGATTCTTTCACCATCACTTACAGGATGTCAAGTGTCCTAGCTGACAAATGTTCCACAATATATTTGTGTGGAAAAGTGCATCTATTTCAAAGAAAAACTCAGAAATGTAATGTTTGTCCAGAATATACTGTTATGTCCTTTTGTCTCTTGTGAGTTGTGCAGTTGTTATTGTCATTCGGCATTTGTCCAAGGTGTTTTAAAGGTTGTATTGTACGGAAGGTAAACTAATGTGCAGGAACAAATTAGCCTTGTGCTTCCACTCTCCTGCCAAACTGTAACCTTAAATTTGTACTTGAACAATAGCGAGCAATATGTGGGTAATCAAATGGTCCAGTTGATTCAATGAAGAAAAATGGTTTAATTGGAAAATGTGCATTTTCAGCTGAATCCAAGAGCAAAAGCTTTTCTATTCCTGCATTTCCAAAAATCAGTATCAGACTCTGCAGGGGAACATTATTCAGATTGAATTATTGAAAATGTACCTTGATTAAATGTATTGATCTGAAGAAAGCCAGAGTTTAAAAAAAGAGTAACAGTGTTTTTGCAGATTTTTCTTGCAGGTGATTCTCTGACTGGATAAAAACATTTTTATGGACTGCTAACCCAACCAGGAGCCTGTCTCATGAAGCAGGATTTCTCATTAAAACAGTTTTCCACTTAAACTTTAAGCTTTGTATTCAGGATCATAAACAGCTCTTCTACCAATTAGGGCTGAGCTTCTGACCAGTCGGGGCCAGACTTTTTTTCTGGCCTTAATCATGTGAAAAATACTGTATTTCGGTGGAGGAAATAAATCATTATATATAGATATCAAGAATATAAAGCAAATATTTCTCCAATAATATGGTACCAATGGCAGTGTTGCTTTTTACTGTTATAAATATTGTACATACTTCATATTTAGGTAGTATAATTTCTTTTTCCATCTTTGAAGATTCCCCCTCATATTTCATGTTATTGGCTATTTGTCATAAACATCACATTTTCATATGCGCACAAGGATGACTCATAGCTTAACTTAAGTATCTAAACCTATGATAATGGAGAAAGTTGTTAACTGCTGAATAACAGGTTAACCACAGGTGCATTTGTTAGGTTTGTTGGAATTTAATTAGGAACCCCGTCTAAGTTTAACTTGCTTTTATGGTGCTCACGGTGGCTCAAATTGATTACTCAATTTAAAAATGAAAATTTAAAAATTGGATTTTACATTTTACAAAGCCATGTTTGGCAGACTGAAGGTTCTCCATAAGTGGGAGCTGTTGAGCATTCAGATCACTTTTGTGTGTAGCACAACATATTTTATGAAAAAATTGAATTTGCAAAAGTTTGAAATTGTAACAAAGTAAAAAAATGTCACTTCTATGTCTGTGACAACCTTTATATGCTTGAGATGTTCATTGGAAGTGAATGCTGCCACTAGCTTGACACTAAAACTACTTAAAATGCATGAAATTGGATCTGCTGATACTTGAACACACATTTATTAGTATTTTGCCACACAGTATGTTTGGAAGGAGCATTCGACTGAATTAGTTCAAACTGTCAAACTAGAGTTAAAAAAAAAAAAAGCAATTTATAAAAAATGAAGTATTTAGACAATAGAAATTTACAACGATTATGACATGATCTATTTAAACTCAAGGCATAAATTGAAACAGTAATAAACTAAATGTATAAAATCATTTATATGGTAATTTCTATTTTATATTTTCTGTTATTAACTTGTGGATATAATGCTTTTTTTGTTTTTTGTTCCAGATTTTTTCAGATTTTTTTGATTTGTTTGAAGTGATGTTTAAAGGTTTAGTTTCATCATAAAAATTCATAAAAAAGTCTGTCCCATGTTTTCATGTCTCTACCAAAACAGAGTTTTAGTCAGTAGGCGGACCCTTATTTTAGCCATGCCCCTATGAGAATGCATCCCTGCAGTTAGATCCCATTGCTTTCAAGCAAATGTTTCCAAAGGTCTGAAAATCAGTGTGTAACATTAGGAATCGTCACTAACAAAATATTTTCTGCAAAAAAGGTCCAAGTTAGTTAAAAGTTGACATTTATCTTTGACTTGAAACTGTTTCGATAAAATGATCCATATAAGAAATATTACACCCTTTCTGATTTATTCTGCATAGTGCACTATTTTTCAGTTAAGATTAAGGAGAGTTTTTATAGTTAGGCCTTAAAACCTTAGGATTAAAAAGAGCCATCCTTGCTTTGTGAGACAGGCCCCAAGTTGTTTTTTTGTACATTACAAGGGAGTACATGATCTGTATCAAGTGCACATATTGAGGCACACAGCCAGCACAACAAAAGAAGCGATTCAGTGATGCTTTTGGGTGAAAAATATTACATACAGCAAATTTCATCTGAATGTGGTACATGTCTCTACTGCCCTTATTATCAGCATGATAATTTATTCTGCCTTAATTGATTTAGCACAAAGCTACTGTTTGCTGAAGAAGGAGGAAAAATATTGACTTTTTTCCCTGAATTTCAACTAACCTCCCTCTGCAAATGTAACAAATGGAGTTTCCTTCTATCGGCAGGCAGAATGTTATGAAAAGCTGATTTCTAAACAGTGTTTTTGTTTGTTTGTCTTTGGTACGGATGGCCTGTCTCCCACTCACCGCCTCGCTCTACTTGGTTGTGTCTTCTAGGGGAGAGGCACTGGCCGGTGCGGTCTCAGAGTCACCATGGTAGGAATGGCAATTCTGTGTAGTTGAGTGTGTTCTCCCCTCTTTGGCCTCTGACGCTGGCCTCTGTCTGTGTTTGTGGTGGCTATGTAAGTCTGTGTACGCCCACTCCTCACCATGTAGAAATCTGTGCAAATGGTCCGCTAGATCTGTTCTGTTTTCATGTTTGTTTATTTATTTTTTTATTTTGTCTCATTGAAAGCCCAGCATTCCGTTTTGCTTAACCTGCTCCTTCCCCTGTAGTGTCTCTGTTCCTCTGGACTCCTTTCTGTCCCCCCACCCCCCTGGAGTCTCTCCCTCAAGCTTCGGACACCTTCGGACGCCAGCGTCTATGCAGGGATAAAGACAGCTTTATTGATGATGTTACTTCTTATTAATGAAAGAAGACATCAGATAAAACTGTGCTTATCCTTGTTAGTGACTCGACAGTGCTCCTCATCAAAGGAAGATCTTGGCCTTGGGATCTTCATAGCAAATCTGGTATGTGGGACGACTGTTTACAACAAGAAAAGAAGTCTTTCTGTTGCTGTGTATTCTCTGTTTGGGGCGTAAAAAAACAAGAATGATTACTTCTTCCATTATTTTTAATGGTGTTTGTTTCATAATGCCATTAGCAATGTTATATAACGTATTTAGGCTGAGTAAATAAAAACAAATAAGCAAACACGCAATGTGCCATGAGCTTTTATACCATAGTGTGCTAAGAATGTCTCCGCCATGCATTAGTATGGGGTCAGCGTGCTGGGTTATGGGTCAATGTCCATTATATTACTTGCCTGCACATGATATTGTTAAATGAGCCATTGGAGTGCTGCTCTTTCTGACCCCTTGAGATGGGTTATATAGTCGCTCCAAGAGCCTATCTGTGTGCATTTGTCAGTGTGGGGTAAAGCACTTTACAAGCGAGCCCAGACTATTATTTACACATCAAGCTCTTTCACCTCGATTGCCTTGGGGTTACCCTGTCTCGCAGAGTATGAGTGACTTTAATAGAAGGGGTCCTAGGAAGACTATTGCTGTTACTGACACTTACATCACATGATCCGAAAGCCATCATCAAGCAGACTGGCATTTGTTTTGTTTTGTTTTTCTTTGTTTGTTTGTTTGCTTCTTAACTTGTTTATGGCAGAACAGAGTCAGACACTGGGGGAATTCAGTTTGTCAGTCCGAACTGCACTTAGTTTTTAGGCCAAAATCTGCCTGCATGCATGACCATTATGGCATTTAACATTTTGCAATTAAATGTTAATGCTCTTTGTCAGTCGCTAAATGCCAACCCCCAGTGGCTCACTGCCCCCTCTGTCTATCAGAGCAAGAGGAGAAGGGCAGGCCGACTGCATTCGGCCTGTCAACACGCCCAGTGGGGCTGGACCCCGTGCCTCGCCCGGCCCTGCCCCACATATCACACATGACTTTGGTAATTAAATGGCAAGACCATTTATTTTGCATGGTGGCAGGGGGGAAAACCAACAGAATGAAAAAGGTTAAGCTTGTAAAAATTGAGTGGCGATTCTGCTTTTTGGCCACATGCTGGTCCAGTCCACATGCTGGCTCACTGAAGCCTAGTTAAAAAATAACAAAAGACTGAACTCCGCAGCACACAGCCAATGATTTGTCAGTCAGTTGTTTCATTTGGAGATTTTGTGAGCAGATGGCTTTGAGTTTTGTTGTTGTTTTCTTCTTTAATCAAAGGTGAACTACTATTTTTCAACTTCATGGTGCTCTTGCACATACTGAGAATCATGACTATGAGTCAGAAAAACAATGTTGATTTTCACCAGACATGATATAGAAGAAGATTCTCGCTTGACTTCAGATTGTGGTTATTAAGGAGGCAACTTTGTGTTGCAGTTGCATCCAAACAAGCCTGAGTTGGCCTGGGGGTGACGGCAGGGAACACAACACTGGAGGCTACACAGCTGTTCATGCAAATGTTCCCTTATGACCTTGTTTATTTGCTTGCACTTGATTTTTTTCCAAGGAATTTTTCATGATAGTTATTTATATTTTTATCACAACTATTCAAAGAACAAACATAAATCATATCATGAATTTCACGTCTCTGCTGGAGTTCAACTACTGAGGTTTAATGTCATGGAATGATTCATGCAAAATGAGATGTTGATGTGTTTTGAGGTAATTGCTTATGCAAATCACAGATATTTCAGTTTTTTGGGGGGGCAGGGTGTTTACTTTCGTTAGATTGAGTTTGTGTGTCAGTGCAAAAATATTGGACTAAAAGCCTTCCAGCCTTAGCTGAACTTTGAAATAGGTTCTGAAATATGACTTCGAGAAGTGGCCAAAAAAAAAATTCAAAACGACAAAAAAAATATTGGAGTATTGGAGTATTCCAATATTTTTGCAGGAATATAGCATACATATCAAGCACGTCACTCTGTGATGTCGATTGCATGTTTTCCTCTTGTGAATATGCAACAAAAATGTCAGACTACTGAATCATTGGTGTACCATCTGGATATTATGCGTACTGGCAGGAGTGTTGTTGTCAGGATGTATTAGGCGTGAAACGGGAATGTGTGCGATGTGAGGATTCATTTGCTGTAGGCGCTGGATCAGCGATCGCTGCTCTCTATACTGTTTTTGTTTTGAAAGGCCAAACCCATCAACAACGTGGGCTGTACATGATTCACAACAAAGTGGACCGCATGGCAAAACAAGGGTGGCTTTAACTCTGTAAGACCAGCCGAGGCTCTATGAATGTTTTTAATACCATTTTTAACATCCATGTGAACTAGATGACTCATAGCAATGGATTGACCCCATCAGTCCTCTGGACTCAGGTCAGATCTTTCAGCTGAAGTCCGATCTTTCACACTTTCACCTTAAGTTCTGTTCTCCACCCTCTGAGGAGCATGAACTAGTGATGTTCAAGTCAGGCTGATATATATATATATATACATACACATAGTCTCTTCAGACTCTTCATGTATTTAACAGAAGATTAATTACACATTTTCCCAGTCTTATTGCAGTCTGGACTCTGGGGGGCTCAATCCAGTGTTCTGAGAACACCAGCAGCTTTTTTGTTTGATTTGTTGATTTCCTTTTCTCAGTAATCGCTTCCTGACAGCTACACATCAGACCCATAGTGCTGATTAGAAGTATGGACAGAAACACTTGCAGATTTTTTCAGATCTTGGAAAGATGAAAGCTTTAAGTACTGTTTATCTGATGGTGACAGTTTGGTGGTCTGCCAGGTCTTGCAGTTCTTTTCTCTTTTATTAGTTTTTTATTAGTTTTATTAGTATCTTTTGAAAAAAATAAATGTACCATTTTTACTGGAAATTAAGTAAATAAAGGGTCTGACTTTTGCAGAGTACTGTGTGGATGTTTAAGCTGTAAGCTGTTTGTGCGCTGTATGTTGTTATGATGGAACCTGTGATTGTAGACCTCTTGTTCAAACATAGCTTTTACATGACTTTAAATCAATACCCTTGGCTCCTTCGTCAGACTACTCTGGACAGTGCTCATCTGAGAACTATGGATAAATCAACCAGCAGCAGCAAACTAACAACAGCAAAGTGGAACACTACAGTTCCTCTTGAGAGCCTCCACTGTAACAAGAATACACAAGCTGTATGTACGATAATAAGAGCGAGAGAGCTTAGAACGTGTGGACGACTTGGTTTGCACATGCTCCGACTATTGCTTTCACTTGATGTCGGTGAGAAAATTGGAAACAGAGTTCATACAATGGAAGTCAAGGGATTTTCATGTTGAAGTTTATGTAATCCCTGCATTCACACGATAATCTCTACATTCACATGATAAAAATAATGTTACTGAATTATTGAAAAATGTGAGATTTTTATGTTGGGGTTTGTGTAATCTCTGCATTCACAAAATGAAAATACTGTTTTGAATTATTGAAAGTAAAAAAGTATATATTCTCTAATTATCTTTATACTAAGCTCTTGTACAGCCAGTCACATATTTTGCATCAATGCAAAACTGGTATTTGGAATTTAGAGGCTGCCGACTGAATCATGAACCATTCGGCTGATTTTGATTCATCAGCTGCTTTGATGGAGCATTCCTATCATTAACAAAATGGTACAACTTGCTTATTTACCTGTAAACCTTCAAGGGAAAAGAGAAGCATCTGCATGACAAAAACCAACTGCTCACCGCAAGTCTCCTCTGATTAAATTTCACATTTCTCCAGCTTGCCACCCAGAAAAGGAAATGCAGTAATAGGCAGGCGCTCCTGGAGTGCTTTAAGTTCATCATTAACCCCACGGCCTCTCTGCCACGTCACGGCTGCTCTGCTGCAGCTCCTCCTTGTTGCTTAAATGACTTTTGTGGGCTCGTGGTCAGAGTGAGGCCGAGAGTGTGACAGTGTGCTAGGCTGGGAGAGCGGACCTCCGGCTGCAGCCGAGGCTTCAGCTTCCCGGCTTCTCAAAAGCAGCTAATTGGTCCCCAGATTAAAGCCAGATCACTGAACTGGACTGTGCCTCTTATTAATTAGGCCTTACCATCAAGTTTTGAGCTCTAACTTTGCCACTGTGCACACGCCCATTTACCTGATATATGCTTTATTTGGATAGCGTGGCTGCCTCTTAAATGGTCCTTAGCTTTTTCATCACTTGAACTGTGCCGGTTTTAATTACAAGATGTTATGGCACCAGAATGACTGCTGATAAATTTTCCAGGGTATTTTAACAGGACTTTTTTTTCAGGAACTTTTTTTGTAGATATATATACACAGACAGGCAGGCAAGCAAGCAGGCAGACAAACATATAGACAGATATATAGTCATATACAAACAAACAAGCAATACATACAAATTTCCCAATTTAGTAGTTTGTAATTTTAACTACACTTGTAGAAAACTAAAAACACACTGTATGGACAAAAGTATATGGACACCTGGCCGTCACACCTATATAGGCTTGTTGAACAAACCGTTCCAAAACCTTGCGCATTAGTGGGCATTAGTAAGCAGTTGGCCTGCCTTTTGCGGCTGGGAGTTTGAAGTGCGTCTGTGGGAATTTGAACTGATGTTGAACATGAAGGTCTGGCTTGCAATCAACCTTCCAATTCATCCCAAAGGTGTTCAGAGGTTAAGGTCAGGGCTCTGTGGAGGCTACTGGAGTTCCTCCACACCAAATCCGTCAAAACCATGTCTTTATGGACCTCGATCTGTGCACAGGGGACCAGTCATGCTGGAACAGGAAAGGGCCTTTCCCGAACTGTTGCCACAAAGTTGGAAGCATAATTGTCTAAAATGATTTTATATGCTAATATATTCCCATTACCCTTCACTGGAACTAAGAGGCCTAGCCCAAACCCTGAAAAATATCCCCAGACCATTATTCCTCCTCCAAACTTTACTCTTGGCACTAAGGCACTTTCCAGTGCTTCAGAGTCCAGTGGCGGCGTGCTTTACACCAGTCCAGCCATCGTTTGGCATTGCACATAGTCATCTTAAATTGTATGCAGCTGCTCAGCCACATTAGCCCATTTCACAAAGCTCTTAATGCACAGTTAAAGTGCTGATGTTGCTTCCCGAGGCAGTTTGGAACCCGAAAGCCCCGCTGTGTGAGTTTGTGTGGTCTGCTGCTTCGTGGCTGATTTTTATTGAGGTGTAGTTGCTGTTATATATCACAGTTCTCACCAAAGCAGAGGTGGTAATTGTCAGTTTGTACCAAGGTATTTAAAAAGTATTTTAATAGTCAACCCATTAATCACTACAAGTAGTGTCTGTTGTATGACACTGCTTCCCTACAGTTATGTTCAAGGTGCTTGAAGGGAGATTCCAGCCAAAATGAAAATCTACATCTGTTGTATATCATCATCACTGTTATTAATATAGTGCCTTTTTGTGCTTTACAATTATAGAGCACATTAGGCAGAAGATACACAGTTAACAAAAAGTCATGACTGTCAGACACATGTAGACATTACATTCAAAGACAAGAGGAATATTGATAGCACAGTGAAAACAAGTATGTCGGATATGTATACTAAGACTAGGAAAACCCCATTCTGATGATGTATCTTTAAGGTTGGAGGAATTTTAAAAAGCTACAACGACTTCGTGGATTTTTGTTTTGAATTTTTTATTTTGATTTTTTTTCTTTCGTTAGCTGGTGAATGCTGAATTAAGGCAGATAGCTAATATTACTGTTAGGAAGCTGAATATCTTCTGAATATCAGCCTTATAACTGTGGTAACTGTCTTCAAATCATCTTTGCGATGGACAGAATGGATTACTCAAATGACAGAAATAATTTATCAGATGAAGTGAACTACATTTATCAAGGTAGCTGGTTGTCTAGAAACCTCAAATCAGTTTGGCTTCTTTTCTCTGGCTGAAAGGGTAGAAAAGTTGTCTTCATTTTGTGTTGAATAAAGATAGAATCACTTTTCTTTATGAATTAATTTGACAACCAAGGTAAGATTAACACTGATGCTAGCTTGGTTGTTTTTTTAGTCTATTAGTGGTTCAGCTAGCAGTCCAGATTGGTTGACATCACAGGGATTCCCAGTGGTTGTATAATGTAATGCGTTATGGGTATTGTAGTGAGGAAACATTTAATGAACAAAGACACAAAAGCAATATACAATTGTGAATACTGTCAAAATGATGGGGTTAAGGAATATAATGCTGCACTACAGAATATTGTGTAACACGACCCATTTTAAACTACAGAAGTGGCTGGAATGCCTCTTTAACTGACAGTGACTTTATCCCAGTATTTACAGTATCGACTCCAAAAGCAGTTTTTTTTATCAATAATATGTTTTTTTTTTTTTCCAGGTAAAATCTGCACTATTTTATCTTAAAAGAGAGACAGAAAGTAGATACAACCAACAAACCAAACAAACCCAACATTACTGTCTTGGCCAACAAATATTGTGTTGTCTGAATGTTTACAAATATTGGACTGCATGGCAGATGTAAATGACTATTAAATTAGTGACTCAACTGCATTTGTAAACAGGTACAACAGCAGTAATCCCCAAAAGCATGGCATGGGGTCCATGCCAGAATGCAGACATTTATCACCGGTTCCTAACAGGGCCGTCATTGCCAGCTCAGAATAGCTGCCATTCATCATAGCTCACGAGTGCTCAAGCCTGCCACTATCCCTCTATGGTCTCTGCAAAATCCACACTACACTTGGTCAGGTCAGTCTGCTGCTGACTGCATCTGCCTCCTGCAGTGTACACACACAACACACACGTATGCACTCCAAACCAACAGACATGATGACTGATGGCAAAGTAAATTTAGTGAGGTCTTCAAAGACAGAGAAATAAATGGCAGCAGTTGATTTAGCTCCAGGCATAATCTTTTCAATAACGTACATCAAAACTATCCTATGCAATATATCGTGGGTAATGCATTTATTGGCTTGGAGATGTTTAACTCATTCAAATCTGCCCCTAGAGTATTTGGTCTGCGTGTGAAATGGATGACCATGTGGAACAGGAGTTTTCTTTGTGCCACTATTTACTGTCACTGTATTAAAAAGAAGCACCATTCTACCTTCACTGGTGGATGCACTGTTTCTGAGTGAACATACAAGAACATTCAGAATGCAAATCAGATCACAAAGGGCTTATTGAGTCTTTTCATTTGAGTAACGGTCAATGGTGATAAAAGGATATTCCTTTTCCTTTTTCAAAATGAAAGTTATTTGTTAAGCTGAATCTAAAGTACATGTCACATCATACTGAGAAATCACACTATTAAATGACAAGAGTACATTCAACTAGCAAGACGAGAAGTAGCCTTGTTTTTTTCTTCATAATTAGAGATGATTGACTTCCAGAGCTTCTTTCTGCAGGCCACCTAGTACACCTTCTGCCAGTGTAATAAAAATTGAGTCAGATATTTTTAATTGATGTAATCTGTTGTCTGTCTGTGTGGGAGATGTTATGACTCTGTGTTGAGCTGCTAGTGAGCATTCAGGGGAGAAAGAGGAGAGATGAGAACCCCATGCTTTGAGAACAGTTCAAACCTCTCCACAGACAAGGCCATGCTGACAAAAACAGGCAGCACAACTGCAGATTTTGCGATATAAAACAACCATGAACTGCCACAATAAACAAAGATATAATTTAAACACAATTAAAACACTTGTAAATGTTGACTTGCTTGCTTTCCTAAAAAGATGAAAATCACTTGAGTTATTTTTTTGCAAATCATACACATTTTCATCAAAATTCCATCAACATTGTTGAAGAATAAAATGTATAGTTCAACTGAGAGAACTCCAAAAGAGGTGCAAACTGCATTTAAGTCTACTGTGAAAAGGGGACAAACAGTACATCATGACTTTTGAATGTGTTAATGTGAAAAATGTATATATATTCTTCACTGTTACAGTATGTCTGCCTGTGCTTATGTTAATTAATGTGTATGCAGCAGTTTAACTTTCTGTTTCTCCCATGTTAAATTCCCGTGCAGCCTAACATCTCATCTCTGTCATGTAGAATGTAAATCTCTGCTGGCTGTTGCTCTACATGATTGGCGGCATACATTTCCATCACCATTGCTGCTTAAATGTATATGTGCTGGCTCATTCTGCTTATTATGATTAACATTAATCTTGCCTTTGCTCAAAGCCTCATTCTCCTATCTGAGCATTTATGTTCTGGATAAGAGTCCATTTTTGATCATGATTTGGTTTCTTGATTTCACTAGCAAATCAGACCTGTCATTGCTTCTTCTGCAGGCACCCATCAACACAACTACAACCATCTGGGTCTCAGTAGCCCCACTCGAACACCTAAAAATGGTAAGAACCGCTGTCCCCATCACACCGCAACATACCATACAACAGAAACAAATGCACTGCTAAGTGAAGCATGTCTTTCACTATATTCTTTTTTTCTGAGCAGCTTGTTATTTTGTCACCACCTGCCTCCAACCCTGATGGTTCTTTGAACAGGCCAATGGCACTGTCCATCTTCCATAGTGTCAGCAGCAGGAAAGCACAGTGCACCTTGATTTGAGTTAATGTTCTGTGGAGGACACGGTCCACTCTGCAGGCCGGAGAGGTGCTCGGAATTCAAATGCTTCACCTGGCCCTTCCACCAATTCACAGCTAACAAGCCACATCTAATCCTTCTGTGATATTGTACCTCTCTAAATAAAAATTCAGGACATCTTGTTTACTATGGAAATAGTGGCACAGTGGTAAAAGTACTCCATACAATGCAAAGATCAATCTGATGGTCTAAGGATAAAGTGATTAGTGTTCTTAGAAGCATGTTGCATCGCTTATCAAAACTAGGCTGTTACAAATAAGTAAACTTGGTTATTTAAATCTTATTCTAATATCATCTTCTGTTTAAATAGGGTAATATTAAACCCAGTGTGGGAAAGTAAACATTCACCGTTGTTGACTTGGTGCTAATATAGCACTGAGAACCCCATAGACAGGCTAGCAGAAATCATTATTGCAGTACTGGCATAAACAGGCAAAAAATTACACTGCCTGATATTTTTCCAGATTGTTTACACAAGTTGCTTTGACACTTTCTCACATGGCCAGCCTTAACTAACATTATGTAGAAGAGTGATAACAACATGGTTAACTTAAAACTTTCTTTTCTCACTTTACGTCTCATATTTTAAACTCATATTTGTTCACTGCAGCGCGAGGCGTCCTTCGTCATCAGGGGCTGATTACATTTGGCTGACTGATTAGCACATTGTTACATAGATGTGATGTACATCATGCATGCCTCTAACAGAACTGAACCAGAGGGAGCGCTGCAGAGGCGGAACCAACCACAATAATGATGTTATTTCTACAGTCTACATAAAAGTGTTAAGATTTCAACAAGACTGGTGTCATTTATTATTACAAAGCAATATATTGCAGCTTTTAATGAAAAAGGGGCTTTAGAGTGTAGTAAAAGGCTTTCTAGTTTTCTTTTCCAGTAGAGTATTTTGCAGTCTTTGAAAGGCTGTACATGCTTTGTTATTCGGTAAAGTTTCTCATTGCCCTTTTCTGAGTACTCAGTGTATTTGTCAAACTAATCACAAGATTTCTTGTTTAATTTTAAAATCAATACTGACAGCCCTAAGCAAAACAAGGCTTCAGAAGGTTGTGGTGGCAGGCATCACAGGAACAGGAGAGACAAGGATATAACTGAAAGCGATTGGAAAAAGAAAATCTTTTTCAGCCAATTATTTTGTTTGAACTTCACCCAGGGGAGATGGTTAAAATGATCTGTCACTTAAACCATCTCTTTCTCCTCAAAAGCCTTTTACTTGGAGTCAACTTTTGCCTTTGTAATCTGGTTTTATAGTGGAAAAGGGGCTAGTACGGCCATTACGCCTGCCGCAGTGCACACACTACGCGCGATGCGTTTTTGAAGAATCAATTGAGGAAGATGCAAAAGTCAAGTCGTGCAGGGATGACATCTGTAAAAACCAGCTGACACAGTATTTGTACTCTATCGATGTTTTTCTCACCTAATGAACACACGCTGATCAAAAGCTGAAGGGAGAGCAGGGAATAAGCGTACGCTGGGATAAAGCTCTTGACTGGCGCCCTTAAAATGCGGAGGCTAGAAATGCTCTCGCTAGCAAGCGGCAACTGCTCATCTTGTTAGTGAAACGATTAAATCACCGCCTTTGGTGAGCCGCTTCAGTTCGACCGGAGGGGAGTGAGAAGATGGATAGCACTCCCTAACAAGCTCCAAAGATTTTTCAACAGATTGGTTGTTATATGACAAAGCCTGTTATTGCTCTTTTCTCAGCGAGGCTAATTCTGTTTATGGCATTGGAACTTTCTCTCAATAACACCGCTTCTCATCTTGCTGTGGTGACATTTGTATCTGATATTTGCCGTAACCTTTAAGACATTTTGATTTAATTAAGAAATGAAAATACCATGTTAATAACAATGTTTAATCCTGAAAAGAGGAACATGCAGCACTACAAAAGCATTACAGCTGGTTTTGGCTGTAGCGTGTTCTTTCTTCTAGTGATGCACCGATCCAATATCCTGGATCAATACTGGAGTTTTATACTTACTAAATTAATTGGTCAGAAGTGAATGATCCACATTTGAAACATAGTCATTACATAATTGTATTCGTCCATTTTTATAAGCCTTCTAGTACAATATAATTTAACATTTTACACTTCTAAAAAGAATGCTGGCATATGATGTCTCCGTTTTACAAAAGTTAGACCACCCTTCACTTATTCCATTTCCAGTCAAAATCAAATGATTAAAATATATACAGAAAATAGGACCCCTAACAACCATGCAGTTTCTGGTAGACCACCAAAACTGTCATCGTCAGTTAAACAGTACTTAAATCTGTCATCTTTAAGAGGATACCACTTTTGCTTCAGATCTGAAAAAATCCACAGGTGTTTCTGTCCATCCTTCCACTGTAAGAAGACAACACTGAGTCTAAAAGGATGAGTAGACCTTAACATCATTCAATGCGTTTGGGATTACTTGGATTGTGAGAAGCGGAAAATGAAACCAACTCATATGGTGTGAAAAAATATCCCTGCAGATTTCTTTGAAAAAGTCTCCTGAAATAAAGGAAGCTTTTTTTTCTGTTAAAACACGTTTTCTGCTTTTTTCTGATGCTGAAAAATGAATAACTTTAATGTCTGCTTTGATTGGAAATTAAATAAACAAAGGGTGGTTTGCACAGTGCTGTACATACATGTACTTTGCTACTGCGAAGAACAGCGCTGATTTTGGAACAGTACTCTGTGTCAGCCTAACCGATATCAGAATCTGTATTGAGACAAAAAGCTGGATCGGTGCATCCCTACTTTCTTTAACACAGCATCCTTACTGAAATGCATATTTTTGTTTGCTAGCTCACAGATCTCTAAGGCATGGTAAGTTGTTCTTTACTGCAGAATTACACTTGATGCCCCTCACCCCCACCTCCCAAACCCACTCCTATTCCTCCTCCTCCACACGTAAATAAAGATGAATGCCTTGCTGTGCACTTTGCCAGCAGTAGCTTCAGATTAAAAGAAGTAAAACCCACAGCATGTGCTGAACAGAGTGTAAAATGGAGTGAGTGGTGTTGTGTAAACACTCTTCTCCTCTCCTACCGCACCCCTCCTGGTTCCCTTGTGTGTTGTTTTGTCTCAGACCTGCATTCTGCGGCAGTCGTCCCTGCCCTATTTTTAACCAGGGCTCGATCCCTGCCCGCCCTGACCGAGTCCAGGCTGGCGTGACGGGCACACAGCCCACGGGGATGGGGGGGAAAGGGGGCAGCGGTAGCAGCCGCCTATCCTCCTCCACAGCTCTCACTCACATCACATCACTCACAAAACAAGGGTCATCTACTAAGGAGGAGCTGGAAGGCCATTGACCAGGACATAACTAAGCCAATCTCTCACAATGGCTGATTTTAGCCACAGGCCACAGTGTTCATCCACTGATTCCCCTGCACTCATGAGCAGTCTGTGTGATGGCGCTAGTGCTACTGCAGTGTCAGTCTGTCTTGAGTAGGCGTTGTCTTGAAAACACAAAAATGATAAAATAGTTTGAAAGTCCAGAGTTTTTCAACTTAATCTGCCGCATCTGTACTCTCCCATCAGTTATCAAACTGTGTGTTATGTTGTACTTAATCTTCTGAAAACACCTGAAAACCTCCTGACTCAAAACATACTTATAGTATAAGCCATTGGGCAGTTGTTAAAGATTTGAAATACATGGCAATATAGCTCGAATTAAAAACTGCAACCATTACACTCTAATAATACAGGTAATAGGACAAGGCCAGAAACATACTTCATTCAAGTACACAACTGCTTCAAGCTACGCAAGGTTTCATGCGCCGTTGCGTTCTAAAATGTGTCACAACACAATTTGTAATGCATGAAAGCTGCAGTCTGAGCATTACAGCAAAACATACACTACCGTTCAAAACAAATTGAATCATTTGTCATGTTAATAATTCTTTTTCACTAATAACTTATACAGTTTAGATTGAAATGTTAAAAACTACAGTAAATCCCTATTCAGATTAGTTTTGGATTTAGAGTTGGATTAATTTTACTGGGGAGGAACTGTAATTTGATGAGATATGTGATTTTAATCCTATATGAATCTAGAATGTCCATAGTTTTCTCAGTAGTGTAATAATTCCAGAGCGAATTAACTTCCATCATTCCTTTAAGTCAGAGATCCTTCAGTGACAGTAGGCAGATGTGAGAGAATGTCTTACCCAAAGGTCTTTATTAATGATTCTTAAAAGTGTTCTACAAAAATGCATTTTACATTAATAATTGCTGATGTAATTCAGCAAGTACGCAGTGCCTTCTATGGCTGTCTAAGCATTAGCCCTATCATTGGGAGGTCACAAGTCCTCAGTGATGCCACAGCCATCTGTGGCTGGGAGTCTAAGAGTGCACAGTTGGCCTCACTCTTTCTGGGTGGGTAGGATGGTCTTCCCTCCATCACTCAGCACAGTGCTAACCAACGTGGGAGTCAGTTAGCTGCCGAAATCGAATTGGCAGTTAGTGTTCTCCTCCAAGCGTGTTGAACTGTCCAATAATGTTGCCATAGCAACAGTTTGAAAAGATGCAGTAGCACTTAATGTGTCTCAGAGGAAGCACATCCTTTTCTGCAGCATCTGGGGAGACCTAGCTAGCAGGTGGAACTGGCAATGACTAAATTAGGTGAAAATCTAAAAAAAAAAAGATATTTATTATAAATGGTAATCAGCTGTACTCTACAGATAGAGATTAGGTTGAAAAACTCTGGAATATTCTTTTACAGCTTTTACTTCTTCCCAAGCATTTTTCTCTTGATATGTCTTTTGGTCTGCTGTCTTGTCGTCCTCCAGAGAACACACGCATGAACAGTATCCTCACATCGCAGACGGAGCCATACGATCTGTCCTTCTCCCGCTCTTTCCAGAGCCTCTCACACCTGCCTCCTTCCTACGAGTCTGCCATGAAGGCTGACCTCAACAAGTACTCCTCACTGAAAAGACTCAGTAAGAGCCAGTTTCTCATTCTGCACGCTGCTGAGCTTCAGGCATTTCACCAGGGTTGGGATCAATTTCTTTTAAATGCATTAATTTCAGTCTCAGCAGTTCAGCTGACAAGACAGAATTCATCTCATAACTGAAATGCGCTGATACATTTCTAAGCTGGTTCTGAAAACAATTAATTTCATTCACAACGTAAATTGAATTTATCTCCATGAGCTGTTGGAATTGATTCCAACCTTGCATTCTAACAGTGCCTTACAGTCTTTTTGTTGCATTTGTAGTCTATACTGGGCATGCTGTATGAGATCATTTGCTTGTTGCCTCGTGGTTAGTCCCACTGCCAGTCTAACAAGCTAATTAAGGTTTTCTGGAGGCAGTTGTATTATATTAGGGTTGGAGCTGTAGTCTGCAGGAGGATAGAAATCCAGGAGCATGATTTGGCACCTCTGTTCTGAACACTCTTTATAAGTGGTCATCAGTTTCTGTTCTGAGGACCCCATGCTTGCATAGATTTATTTTTATGTTGTCTTTGCTCTGATCAGTTGTCTGATTCCACTCACCAGATAATTATCAAGTCTCCTCCAAGAGAGGAAGAAAAAGGAGAAAAAGCAGAAATACTTTGTGCATGTGATCAGAAAGTTTGGCACTAATTGGGATGTACTGACATGGAATTTCTGTGCAAATAACTAATAATTAATCACCACATTATCTTAATGCCAATAACCACAGGTTAAACTGGGATTTTGGATGTAGGAAAGCTCAGTTTTCTCAAGGGGTGTCAGTAATGTGAGAACAATATTGTTCAACTGATATGGTAGTATGGTGGTTCTCAGCACTGATTTCATGAAATATCTTTTTCTGTCTTTGTGCAACACTTTACTGCCAGGTGTTCAGTGCCATCCAGTCAGATTTGGAAACCTGGTTCTCAAACAACTGAAAAACCCACATTCCTACCTAACATAACAAATGTTAACCAGTTTAACTTTGTTGAACTGATGGAGCTAATATACGCTATTAGCTAGCTAGCTAGGTGCAGATGTGTGCCTTTGAATACATTTAGCAACAGTCAGTTGGTAAAACATTATAATTATATAAGGCTATCAATATAAATAAAACCTATTTACATGTAGCAGGTCTACTGTAATTGAGCTTCTTTAGATGTTGCAGTATTCATAATGATTTACATTTTTGTCAAATTACAGTAATGGGGCTCAGCTCCATTTGCCATTCACCAAAGTTAACTTAATTAACTATATTTAGCAACTTATTCATTAATGTATTTATTTTTGGCATTTTAAAGTCCTCAGTACAATTCATACATGAAATATGCAGTTATCATAAGATGGATAAAGATGAGTCATTGATTCATTTTACCTAGCTTTGACATAGCTCAGATATGGCAATTACCGTAAACATTTCAATTATTTTCTGGAAAGATTTTATATTATTTAGCACACGCTTTTATCAAGAGCAGTTTACGAAGGCAGGTGAACATAACATTAGGAGTCTTGCCCACTGACTCTTATCAGTGTAGCATCCCTGCCTGGGAAAAAAAAAACAGGTGCTATATTAACCACATCAGACCAACACAAATAATCAAATTTTCTCATTTATCAGTGCATAATATATCAACCTCTGATATATAGGGTACTGTGAATTAATGTCTGTGCTCCAACCATCTTGTATAAGCCTGTAGTGCATGTATATAAGTGAGTGCATGTTGGAAGAAATCTCTAACTAAAGCTGTCAGTGAAGAGAGAGTGATATACCTTTATTATATATGCACATTTATATCACGCTGCGAGGGAGAGCACATATTTCATAGGCCCATTATCTCTGTCAGACAGCTGAAGCCTTGTTAAAACCCCAGTTCAAAAACCCTATTTAAAGTAAAGATTATTGGCATTCAGCGTCAAGGCTGGTGATTAAAAGCCACCACTATTTCATTTTGCTTGTATCACTGGAGATAACTTACTTGTGGCCTAGGCCCACTGTTCTATTGATCTAGCTGATGATAGATTTCTGCCGTGCAGTATCATCTCAAGTCGTAATATTCCCTAAGTGAAGAGTAAATACAGCTAAAGCGTTGTGTAATTGCCTAGAAAACTCTAGCACTATAATCAAGCGTAGTATGGGGTATTGATAGACCTTCATTAAGGGTGAGCACCAGCGCAGAAGTGGGGAGTTGGGGTCAGGGGGGCACATCCACCCCACTTTTTGAAATTACATGAGATCATTTTGTCTGGTGGTAGGATGGTTGTCAAGAAAGTACATAGCTTATATGTATGGAGCATCAGCTTCTTAGCCAAAGTCTGCTGTCTGAAGCAGATCTCATACAAGAATGTCTTTCTGTTATCGATATTCAGCCTGTAGACATATTGCTTTTTTCATTATGGCTGAGCTGCAAAAGACCTGCCAGATATATGCAAAAATTTTAAAACTCTAAGTAAAACCCAGAACAGATTGATTTGTTTAGCAGTAATAGTAAGGACAAAAAGAAAGAAAGTTGTTTTCAACTACTGTACAATGAGACAATGTCTACAATGAGAACATTGTACCCACCGGCAGGCCCAAAGTTTTATTACACACTTCTATAATCTGAGAATAGTTCAGCCAGTTTGAACTGAAGTCCCTGTAGCTACAATATAATAAGCCTTAGTATGTAATAAGCCTGGGATTTTATGCGGTTAATAATTTAATACTACTGAAAAAAAATTCTGTTGTAAAAAGCCAATAAAATTGAATCTCTATACTGTTAACAGCATTGTTTGTTTTTGTGTTTTAATATTGACATGTAAAGCTACAGACATCATGACAATATGATAACTAATTGTAGGTGTGCTTTGTTCACCTCACTATAAAAAAAATGAGGGTTTCAACTTAAAAAAGTTAGTTACCAGGCTGCTGTCAATTGAACTTTGAATAGTAAGTTTATAGATGGTAATGTTTAAATTATTTTTCTTCTACAAATTTATCTTTTGTATTTTGTGATATTATTGTTATTCTCTAGGTAGTGGAAAATACCTTGATATAAATTACAGCTTATATTGCCCACCCCTACTTCTCATCAGCAGTCCCCCTTCATCTCCCAAAGCCACGGCCGGAAAAAACATGCATACATTCGCAAACACTCAATAATTCCTGGCACCAGATCCTCTTCAAAAACGTCCTCAGGCATTGCCACCCTAATATTTCAGTTATGCTTCTAAAGCATATTATTTGTTGTAGTGAATAGCCAAAAGGCTTAGCTATGTCTATGTTTGGAACTCCAATGGCATTCATACAGATAGATCTTGTAGGGTGCAGCCAGCGGAAAAAAATACCCTCTATTTCTGTATAGTAGTCAAACCACTCTGCACTTATTAATAAATCAAAGAAGTATGTGTGTCTTTGAGCTTAAATGACTAGTCTCATGCAATCGTGTCTCAGATACATGCTACTGTACTCAAGTGAACTGCTTGCATAATTAAAAACAGTATATCTATAATCGCTATAACGTATTACTTGCTGTTAATGGATTATGAAATAATGATATATGGCTTATAAAATGATGAGATTATTTTGTGCTTTTATTTCATAACAAGCTTGACATAATCCCTTTATAAGAGGCTGCATTTTAAAAATTATGGTAACCTCAGGGTCCTGAATGTAGCCTTTTACTGCAAAGCTGCAACTTGGGTCTGCTATACACTGTTGTTTTGCTTTCATTTCTTTGATTTGAGGTTTTAATTTTCCTGAATATAGTTTTATTCCTCCACAAAGTGATGCACTCCAATTCTCTCAGGCGGAGGATGTGCATGGAGAGATCCGTCAAGTGTAACAGAGATCTCAAGGTCATCAGCTCCTCCAGACCGCATTCATTCCATATCGGTGGAGACCATAATTTAATTATTACCATCTCTAATCATTCTGTTACGGATACAGTAGTCACTTAGTGCTCTTGTGTGTGTGTGTGTGTGTGTGTGTGTGTGTGTGTGTGTGTGGACATGATGGAACCTTTGGTCTTGTGCGGCACAGTCTAGTTTTTTAGATAACCAAAGAAAGATAATATAAACAGGATAAAAGAAGGCCATTGAGCAGTTCATTCAGTTGTCTAGTCTCTCTGGGCCAGACCTGACCCTGTTTATGAGAATACATGCCTAGAGACAGCTTGTAAAAAATTTTGTGCTGGATTATTGCAAAATCCTTCGCTAACAAGGTGATGTCCACAGCATTTCACTCTAAAACCCTCTTCCAGTCCATGCATTTTAAACATCCAGAGTATAATCGATAATACAAGCAAAACATCTTGCCTGCCAGTGAAACAGTGTCTGCAAACAGAGCAGGTTATTTTTTCCACATCACTTTAACCTGTATTGTTGTGACTGTCCAGCTGCTGGCAACCAGTCACTAACTTTTACTACCTGTCTAATGCAGCTGATGCTTTCTGACATAGGTGGCATCTAAAGGCAAAAAAAACGTGATACTCATAAACTCACTTAAAAGTTTGCAAGTCATATTAAGTCGATATTATTTTCGATTCAATTATAACTTATAAAATATACATTAGAATATCATGAAGAAGACATGTAAAGGTATTTTTAGGGAACAATTCTGAAATGATAGACAATAAAATGTAGTTATCTATTTAGAATTCTTTTATGTCTGGAGACTTGACCACAGCTTTTGGCACACGAGGCATTCTAGGTATTCATTCATTATAGCTTGATTCATGTTATAGGGATTTATCAGTCTAAAGCTCTATTTTCAGATTCTCCGTTTCCTACTCATTTAAACCTGCGTAGGAGCATAAGACTAGCATATTACAATTTATTTATTTATTAATTTTATACATTTATCTGCAACCAAATAGTTTTTTTTTTGTTGAAAACGCAGATTCTGCTTTCGAATGTGAATGTTTTCTAGCTAATTCTCTAAAGTAAGGCTAAAAATGTTGGCTGCTGAATTACACACTAACAGAAAGCTACTAAATGCCTTATTTTTAACAGTTAACTTACCAAATTAAAGAACATTTTTCTACACCACTGAACACGTTTAATGTAATATGTGTGTCACTGACTGTTTTTAGATGTCAGTCATACACATTACAGTGTCAGTATAGTTTGTTTTAAGATCCCGTGCCTTTGAGAGCTCCGCCAATCATCACATACACAAGTCAAGTTTCCAAGCAGGACAAAAATTACATTTGTAAAAGCCAACTGAATGAACATGGAGATGATTTTCATATGCAAAAAAAACATTACAGCATTACATACACCTCAGTAACTCCCAGTGAAGCTAAAATGACATTGTGAATGCCTGTTGTTCAATAACCTGTGATCTTTGCTCCACTAAAACAGCATGTGTTTGAATATGCTCTTAGCTCGCATTGAACCCCAGCTTCAGTAGGGTTCTGTGGGCTGTGCTTTCTCTGGCTTCCACACACAGATTTGTGCAGACTGCCGTCTATCAGACACAGTTTGCGCAGATCGCAGTATGTCTTACAAACACTACAGATACATTGTTAACCATTTCAGTGCAGTTTGGAGGAAGCCATGCTTCAGTCGAAGTAGTTGATGACTTAAACCCTGTTTGAGTTGGATTTATTTTACATGGGGAGGTACTACAATATATAACTCTGACAAGACTGACAGTAATAATTCCTGAGTGAATGACCATCTGTGATCCAGTGAACCCAGAGCTCCATCAGGAATAATAGTCCTGTTTGAATTGCCCTGACAGTAATTTAATAACAAAACTTGGTAATAGACACAGCCATGTGCTGTGTCATTCTTGTTATTGAGTTGGGTAGCGCTGTCGTTGGACGTTGTGAGAATCTGGGGAAATTACAAAGAAACTTTATTTTAAATTAACTTGCCAGGGCAAGTGCCTTACAAATCACACATGAAAACCAACCCTCATTAAAAGTAATCCAGATTGTTAGTTACTTTGTATGTACCATAGTGGCCTGACCTGTAACCTGACTTTACTATTCCACAGCGGACAAGGACGTGGATGACTACTACACCCGCAAGAGGCACCTTCCTGACTTAGCAGCACGAGGCACCCTCCCTCTTCACATGATAAAAATGAATCAGATGAACCAAGAGTCACAGAGCAGTCAGCAGGCCCAGCAGCAGCAGCAGCCTCCACGACAGCGTCCTCGCCGTGTCCAGAGAGCCATGTCCCAGGACCGTGTGCTTTCCCCTGAGCGTGGCTACGCTCAAGACTACCCCATGTCCCCCTATGGCATGTCCCCGTACGGGGGGCGCATACTGTCTGATGAGCAGTTGCTCTCAGCTGAGCGTCTGCGATCCCATGAGCGCCTCATATCACAGGACCGCCTGCACTCACAAGATCGCCACTACTCACAGGAACGCATCCACTCACAGGAGCGTCTGCTGTCCCAGGAACGCCTGCAGCACTCCCAGGTAAGGATGGCTGTTTTAACCATTTTTTTTCTTACAAAATCTGCGTTTGTAATAATGAAAAGTATTTAAATATCCCAATGAGAAACTGAGTTTCAGCCTGAAGCTCCCCCTACTTTCTATCTAACTTAATATACATTTCCATCTTTACCATCTTTACCACCTCCTTGTCTCATCCATGTTCCTTAGTGTTTTCTTTGTTCATCGTGGGAGGTTTGGGGGATTGAGGCTGGGCTTTTAGCTCTTCTCATACTACAACCATACATTAAATAAAAATATGAATAAAAAACTTAAAGGAATAATTAGGCTTTTCTATTTACTTCAGACGTAATAAGCTGAGACATATCTCGAGTCCAGATTTTGCTTCTTTAGATTACAGCTGGAGCAGGTCTTCATTAAGGTTGTGCAGACTTGCTGACTTACTTTTAACTATAGAAAGGAAAAAACTGAAGGCATTTTAGACAACGTGGTCTGTATTCACAAACCACCTATGAAGTAGAATTACTGATCAAGAATTAGTATTTGTGACAATGACCATCATACACTGATGTGCCAAAAGTCATTGGATAGTAGTATGTAAAATTATCATGAAGTGGTGTTTTCTCAGGGGCACGGCTTGGGAACGGCCACACCTGTATAAGTTGTGAGCTGTCATCTTGTGAGTGAGGTTGAACACTGACCAGCGTGCTCTCGGCAAGGCAACATGAACTATCAGAGTTTGAACGAGGCATTATAATGGGTGCCATATGGATGGGACGTTCCATTTCCTAAGTTGTGCGGGTATTTAACATTCCTTGATCTACAGTGTCACATGTGTACCAGGCATACGTCAGAGAAGGCATTACCACCCACAGTGAACAGTGCAGTGGCTGCCCACCGGTGCTTAATAATCATGACTGGCGGCATCTGGCTAGAATTGTCTGTGTAAACAGACAAGCGACTATAGCAGAAATCACATCCCCATTCAGTGCAGGAGGCCCTACACGCATATCCCGCAGGTCTGGACCCTATAGCACTAGCGACATGTGGCATGATAGGATGAGTCAAGGTATCAGTTGTTTCGGGCTGATGGTAGGGTTTATGTGTGGCACAGACCCCATAAAGACATGGGCCCCAGTTGTCAACAAGGCACTGCAGGCTGGTGGTCATTCCATACTGGTGTGGGGTGTTTTCTCATGCCATGTGTTGGGTCCACTGGTCCATCACTACGTTTCACTGCATGTGACCATTTGTAGCCCTTCATGGGCTTCATGTACCCCCACAATGATGGGATATTCCAGCAGGATTATGTACCGTCATCGGGCCCAAGTTGTCCAGAATTGGTTTGAGTACCATTCAGGAGAGTTGTGTCGAATGGTGTGGCCTGCACACGTTCGCCAGAGATGAGCCCAATCCAGCATTTATGGAATGTGGTGGAGAGGTCCATTCACTCCCGAGATCCTGCACCTACAAATAACATGGAGCTGCGGGTGGATATCTAGATGGCATGGCTCAACGTCCCTCCAGACGTCTTCTGTCCACTTGTGGAGTCGATGCCACACTGAGTTGCTGCACTTTGCTGGGCTAGAGGGGGTCCTGCATGATACTAGTTCCTGTCCCATGGCTTTTGGCACATCAATGTAAATACAGAGGAGTCTGATCCAAAATCAGCCCTGCTTTATGAAGACCAGTTCTGGTTTTGTCTGAAATGCTTAGCACTAAAGTTTTGTTCATTTTTATGGTTCAGAGTAAGTCATACTGTTCTCTAAACACATCAGCAAGTCTGGGCAACCTTAATGAGGACTGGGGTGCAGTTTCAGCTGGTTGAAAGAAGTTTTGGTGATGTATATTTACAGAAATTATTTGGGCTATTGGAGTGACTATGGGAATAAGTGGCTTAAAAAGTGTGTGTGTGTGTGTGTGTGTGTGTGAGTATTGGGTTTTAGTGTTTGTTGGCAACATTAACCTCATAGCTCCAGTTCTAAACTAAAGAAGCAAAATCTGAGCTCCAGACATGTTTTGGTTGATCTGTATCTGGTATTAGTGGAAATGAGTTAGATTTTTCATCAAACTATTCTTTAAGACAGTGAAAGTTTACCATTTGTTTATATGCTCAACAATAATCGAATTGAATTGAAACAATAATTGAATTGAATTGTAGTTGAAATGTTCCCATATTTGGCTTCACTTGTGATGCCATTATGCTAAACATGAGACCTGATACTGTCTGTGCTTATATCATCTGGTCAAGCAAAACCTATTAAAAAGTTACAGTATGATACATAAATTATTTCATTTTGTGTCTTAAACTACACGAGTGTATAAATCAGTACTAAAGCAATATTGGAGCTGGATTAATTGAACTGAACGATGTAATCTGTAAGGGGTTTGATTGGACGGATTCATACGAGATAATGTATCTGTGTGTAATTTTCCTACACTAGCACAGAGAGTCCGGATTGAAACATCAGCATGACACGATAGCACAATCAGTAACAACAGCACTGCATGGTCATGTCTATTAGCGGGCTTTGTTAGTATATTACTATATGTCCTATTAATAAACACATACTAAGCCAATAATAATAAGCTAGTATTACTATTACCACTATTATTGAGGTTGCTCCAGGTTCAGCCAGTTACAGAAGGCCATTCACTCTACAATTATTACTGAACAGACTTTGCAGATTCACTCTAGATTAAAATCATATATCTCTTAAATAATATATTCCCCATGTGTAAGTAATGTGGCTAAAGATGAGTTCTTATATCTGTCTATTACAATAACCATACCAACCCCTATTTCCAGGAGCGCCTCTACTCACAGGAGCGTCTGTACTCACAGGACCGGCTGCGTTCACAGGACCCGCTGCTGTCCCCTGATAAGATGATGTCTGTCAAGCGCTCCAGCTTCCACGGCGACAGGTCCATGTCCAGAGCCATATCCCACACGGACGTGTTCATGCCCACCACGCCGGTCATGGATCGCTACAAGATGACCAAAATGCATTCGCATCCCAGTGCCTCAAACAGCAACAGCGCTGCTGCTGCTGCTGCCGCCGCCGCTGCACACAACACCATAAGCACGAACCAGACGGCCTCCAAGAGGCAAGCGTTCGCCTCGCGCCGCACGCAGACCGTGGAGCAGCTCCACTACGTCCCTCCGGCTGCCCAGCAGCAGCAGCACCACCATCACTACCGCACAGGCAGCAAGACCGAAGTAACTGTTTAACTCGGACCTCAGCGACCAGCCAGCCGCCAGAAAACCCAAGAGACTACAGCGCGAGAGAGCCAGTCTGACCACTAGTCCTCGTCTATGGTTTCCGCAGTGACTGACCCCAGCACCAGCCCGAATATATTCAGACAAAGAGGCCCTTCCATGTGCATATCCAACATTTCCCTGCGTTTGTAGATCACAGATAAAAAGAATGGACTAGAGGCTTGCGTGGTTCGTCCGGACAGAAAATAAAAATGTCCGTCCAGTTCTGCAGTTCTTAAGGGCTTTGCATGGAAACTCACAGAGGCCTGATAGAAGAGCGACAGAAGGTACAAAAGAAAGCGTGCTAGTTGATGTGGATGTGGAATGGAATTGTGTAACTTTATAAATATATAAATACAGATACTGTTTGTACTTCCAGTCCTAGTCATAGCTTTAGAAGTTCTTAAATTAAACCAATGTTAGCACTTCTATTGGTGCCTCTACGAAAAATGTTCCATTTCAACAACGAAGTGGTTTTGTGGGTTAAAAAGCACAATTGATTAAATGCGTTCATTCTGTTCATTTGTTTGTTTTTTTCTTCTTTCATTTCTTTTTTTCATTAGTTTGGTTAGTGATGGCTAGCACGTATCAGTTTGTTCTTTAATTAACGGCAAATTCCTTTGCATAGAAGATTGTAAATAAGCTATTTTAGCCGCAGTAAATGGACAAGTCTGTTCTGGTTGGCGTTTGTATTACTGTAGCTTTATTTTAGAGATTCAAGAATTATAGACGACCCACTAACCCAGTATTGGACTGTTTTAAACAAATACAGTAATTTATGTGTGCCATTTTAAATGTGTTTGTAGGATGAAAACTGGGTGAATGTTGTCGACAAACCATGACCACTCTTGATATCTGGCTGTAGACTGTGCTCCAGTGAGTGACTCACAAGACGAATATATTATGCTTGTTGTAGTAGCTTCAAATAAACCATCCTTATTTTTCTAAACATGATACTCACTTGGAACAGATCTGTTGTGTGCCTCATAAACTGCTCCTCTTCAAATGTTATGACTCCTCTTGATGCACCATGGAGATAGCAGGTCAGCAAGACAATGAAGTTCTACCCTCCGTGACCACCCAGTGTTCTTCTCAAACTCCCCACCCTCCCCCAACATTAGGGGTTGAAAATTCAATACTTGATTTCATATGAAACACTGGTGTCTTTCAGTATGTGCATGGGAACTCAAGTACTCTGTTAACCGTTAATGGTGCTATTACTCATATACTGAAAACACTATTTAGATATTTATTATGTTTAAGAACAGGAAGACAGAATTTATGCAGACTAACAATTCAAGAAAACAGCAGTTTCATATTTTAACAAGACTAAAATTTAGACCAAACGGCCTCAGAAAAAGGTATCCGATCAAACAGCGTCACACAAAATTGCCTCAATCAGTAGAAGTAGAGGACACCCACACAGCTGACAACTTTGTGGTAGTGGTTTGTGGTACTGTGGAGAGAGGAGAGCTATATCTGATTTCATTTACCTTCAAAACACTGTGCAGATGTTATAATGGCATTTGTATTGAGAATTCACAGTGGTATTCTAAGTTATACAAACCAGTATATGCTCAACCAAGCATGCGTTTGGTCTGATGATCTTTTTTTCTGAGGCCGTTTGGTCTGATGTTCAGTTACACCACATTTGAGACATGACGATGTTTTCCCGAGACTCAGTGTCGTTTAGTCGAGGAATGATGCTGCTCTGACTCTGACGATGTCCTAAAATATAGCCCATAGCCCCACCTAGTTTTAAGTTGTAATAAGAACGTGAACACTGCACATTTCATGAAGAAAAGGCAAAGCCAAAGTGAAGCTTGGATTTTCTTTTCTCTGTTAGCTTTTCCATTTAGATATGGCCATGAAATACCAGAATAATGACTAAAATGAAATTACAAATAGCTGTTTTAAATTTATTGACATGCTTATGTGAAAAATCAAATTGCAAATGTAGGTATTTAATTTCATTTTCAGCTTTGGCAGGATATTTGCACAGGTGTTTGGAAAAAGAAATGGCAAAAAGAGATTTGCATTTACATTTTATTGTTATTATGATTTCTTTTTTAGCCAGATTTGCCTCCCATAGCTGAGAGGGCAAGGAGAGCATGGCTGGTGTTCTGCTGCAACTTTTTAACTAACGACTCTACTTGATGTTATCTAGCTACGCTCTTTAAAAATGTTCTTCAAGGGTTCTTTAGTAAAGACAATGGTTCTATATAAAACCATAAACACTCAAAGAACCCCTTTCATGCTTACATGGTTCTTCGCATGGTGAAAACGTTCTTCAGATCGATGGAGAATGTGTTGTATATGGCTTTATAGAACCTTTCTGAAAATGGTGCTATAAAGCACCAAAAAGGGTTCTGCTATTGTTACAGTGTCAAGCTTCAAGCTACAGTCAAAGAACGCTATTTGGTGCTATGTAGAACCCCTTTCAAAAAGGTTCTTCTTAAAACCATATACAACACTGGAGCTAAAAGGCTAGTGTAGCTAATGTAATGGAAGCTTTAGGGGAGAACAGGCTTGGTTGGTGTAAGTTCCAGGTCAGTAGGGGGCGCTGTCACAAAAATATAGGATGAAAATGATTGACCTTTTGAACAAGCATTCATTAATTTTGTCAAGAGCTCCAGTTTGTTCAGACAACATGAATTTAGTCATGAATGGACTCTTTCGAGGAAATATTTTCAGACGTTGAAAGGTTCTGTTTTTAGTTAAGATGATTAGATTTCATTTGCTGCTAAGTCGGGTTTTTCTAACACTCGGTCTGCTTAGGATGTACGGCAGAGAGCGAAGACTGTGTCAACCATCCCTGTTCTCCCCGACTTTACTGCTCGATACAATTTCAGGCTCGGTTGCAAAGGGTTTGCATCAGGCTATGTTAGCTGTGTTAGCATCCGGTTTCCGATTTTAGATCAGATAAATTCGGTTTTGAGCTCCGTGGTATAACTAATAGTCTCAACCAAACGCTATAATGTCTCACACTAAATACGTCATCAGTTGGAGTAGATAATGTGCAATTCTGTTCCTATCATTATGCCCGTCTCTCTCTTTCTCTGTCTATCTCTCGTTCGCTCTCAGGGCTCTCAGGTAGAGTTTCAGTTGCTTGGCAAGAGACTTCTGTACAATATAGTACCACCAATAGTTGCAACATCATAATGTGATTGGCTGAAAGACATTCTGCGAGTGCCAGTATCTCCTGATAATGGCACTTCAAACACATATCATTAAGTATCATCAAAGAATTTACAGAGAGGAGAATTGCCACTTAGTAATGTCTTCTGTGTTTCTCAAACGCCAGAGGGCGCTCCCGAGCAAGCCCAAAATGAATAAGTTAATATGGAGCATTTGAGCAAAATCCTAGTTTATGAATGTTTAAACCTCTTTACATAAAAGAATGTTTTCATATCCTGAACACAAAACAGCATAAAACACTTTAACACCGCTGTTATATATTTCATTGCTTTTGAATTCATTATAATACTTGGTGCCTCACGTACGCTCATAACATCAGTGAGCGCAAACCGCTTTTCTCAGCCAGTGAGCTGCTCCGCTCACCAACCAGTAAGCACTCTGCATAAGGAATACCAACCAATCTGCACGCAGTAGCAGTAAAGCCAACCAATCAGCACTCAGTAGCAGTAATGCCAGTCAGTCAGCCCTCAGTAGCAATAATGCTTGCGTCCTACTGCCCAAACCCTGTTTGCTGTAGAAAAAAAAGAAATATACTAGAAAGTTGGTACGAGTGGATCAGACACAGCAGTGCTGCTGGAGTTTTTAAACACTGTGTCCACTCTCTGTCCACTCTATTAGACACTCCTACCTTGTCAGTCCACCTTGTGGATGTAAAGTCAGAGACGATAGCTCATCTGCTGCTGCACAGTTTGGGTGGGTCATCCTCTAGACCTTCATCAGTGGTCACAGGATGCTGTTGACTGGATATTTTTGGTTGGTGGACTATTCACAGTCCAGCAGTGACACTGAGGTGTTTAAAAACTCCAGCAGCACTGCTGTGTCTGATCCACTCAGACCAGCGCAACACACATTAACACACCACCACCACATCAGTGTTACTGCAGTGCTGAGAATGATCCACCACCCAAATAGTACCTGCTCAGTGAGGGTCCATGGGGGTCCTGTCCACTGAAGAACAGGGTAAAATGGGGCTAACAAAGTGTGCAGAGAAACAGATGAACTACAAAGTGCACCTATATAGTAAGTGGAGCTGATAAAATTGACAATGAGCATAGAAACAAGGAGGTGGTCATAATGTTATGCCTGATCGGTGTGTATATATATATATATATATATATATATATATATATATATTCAAATTTCCATCTTAACACGCTTCATCAAAAAAAAAACAGTTTAACAAATAACTATAATTGTGAGGGCTTTGCTAAGCATTATTCCTTCCTGAGTAGCGGCAGATCTAGAAAATTTTACCAGGGGTGGCAAAGAGGTAAAGGTGAGTTCCGGCAGGAAGGCAGCGTGAATGTGTGTGTGTGTCATTGGGGCTTTTGGACAGTTGTTCTGCGGATTGCCAATTGCGAAATGACTCTCTTAAAGGTGCAAACGCCTGCCCCACATTTTGGGGTGGCCAGCAACAAATCTGACACCCAGCTACAGTTTGTAGCCCTGAATCTAAGAGCTTCTCATCACTCTGATCAGAGAAGTCCGAGTTCTTGGAGTCCTGCGTCAGTAGTGGTACCCTCAGCATTTTGAATGTAAGGAGGACTGTTATGTGAATTGGAGGATTAGTGTATGAACACGGCCTGTTTTAAGCACAAAAGTAGCCAAGCATGGCATGGCCTATAACAGTAAATAACGTCTATAATATCCATCATGGCACAGTTATAAGGTATAAATGCTAGAAATCACCAGCATATTAAAATTATATTGGTCATTATTGCTCCTGTGTGCGAAGCAGTAGATACACATTATTATTCGTTTTTATTATGAGCTGTAAATTTTTGGTCGACTAAGCAATTGTCTCCTACTGCAGTTTATTTCCAAAAGAAGTGTTTAAATGACATTTAAATGCCTCAGTTAATACATTGTTATACTCTGTATCTGTTAAGTGCCTAATATGACAGAAGATGTGTGAGGAAACATGAGGAGTGAACCTTTAACATGTAAAAGAGTCTGAGGAACTGTGTGCGAGACTGGATCTATGCGAAAGATGGTGAAAATTTGTCTGCGAGAGTGATGCTGCGTGAGAGAGGCTAGAAGTCGGCCCCGCTGTCATCTTTTTCACCTGGCTGCACTTGATAAGCACAGATTTCAAAGCTAACAGCTACTCCGTGAAAAATGCATATGAATAGCCTCCTTTTAGCACTGTTTACTGTTTAGCTTGTAAGACAAAACTGCATACAGTCTGCAGCATATGATGCTGTGTGTAGTCAGAAATGCCACTATTGATCATGTTTAGTTTACTAAGTCGCTTATCTACCATTTTTAAGTTCTTGTCCATTTGTTGTGTGTTTAGTAAGTTTTTCTCTACTTTGACACAGAAGTGCACAAGTGTTCATTTCATGCAACACAGGTGTGAGTTGTAGTTCCACAGAACTTCCTCATTGGTTTCCTGTTGCTATAGATACTGGTTCTGCCCACACTGATTTAAAACACACGTGGACCGGCAGTGACGGACAAGCTAACGTGCTCTCCTTTACTGGCATTTAAATGACCCACCATTGCTAGTCCAGAGTGTTTTTATCAGTCAAAGCTGAGCAGTTGTAGGAAACGTGATCGTTCAGATTCATCGGTATGTCGCTTTGTAAAAATTGTGTGAGAAATGTGGAGTGTGGTGAGAAAACGTGAGATTAGACTGAACTGTGTGGGTCCCACAGCCAGTGTGTGAGAGCTGGCAGCCCTGCGTTTCCAGTGTAGACATCCTGAAGTTTTTGCTGTCATACTTTCTTTAGTGGACTTTATATGCAGCATCGCTA